GAGTGCAATTCTATATGTGTGTGTGTAATTTTTTAATTTTTTTTTTTGAAGATGAAAAACTAATTCATTAAATCATGAGTAAGAGAGTCCACAAGAAAAGATGGAGGGGAATCAAACCATTCCCCGCAACCTGACACAGAAAAGGCCTCCCTAGCAACAACATGGGCGGCACAATTCGCAGATCGCTTTACACAGTAGAAATCTACATCTACAATCTCAGAAGCTAAACCTTTAATGTCCTCAATTAAAAAACCGAAACTAGAAATAAAAGGCTGGGAACGTAAAGCATAAAAAACTTTTTGACAGTCCGTTTCCACATCAACATCTCCCATTCCAGTAGTCTTTAACCAACTCAAAGCCTCTCGTATGCTAAAAGCCTCTGCCTCTTTAACCATAAAAACCCCCGGCACCCTCACATTCTTAGCAGCTAAAAAAGCTCCATTATCATCTCTTAGCACCCAACCTATCCCCATTTCATTACTTTCCTGCCTGAGTGCCACATCTGTATTCAACTTCAACCTCCCATGCGTGGGTCTTGTCCAGGTCACACAATCCGTTTGCTCCTGATTCGTTCGTGTTCCCTCATTCGCATTCCTCCAACTATCCAGGAACACCATAGTCCTATGCAGCATCACATTCATATAAAAAACCACACCCTTCCACACACTATCATTCCTGCTATTCCACACACTCCAACAAGCCATTAGAAACTTAGGCAGAGAATCAACATCCAACAGATTAATAGCCCAAAAAAACCAATCAGTTATACTATTACCAGCAAAACCATTGATTTGTGGCCATCCCAGCTTAACCCAAAGCCGGGCCGCTTCGGCACAGTAAACAAACAGATGAAGGGCTTATTCCTCCACACAACTGCACATATGACAAATTAAAGAGCATTCAACATTTCTTAATTGCAGAATATCACGCGTAGGGAGATAAGCAGAAGCTAACTGCCAACTAAAATTCTTCACCTTCGGGGGAATATGCAAGTTCCAGATTTTAGTCCATGGGCGATCATCCGCATCCACCAATGTGAGATGCTTGTAACAAGATTTAACCGTATACGCGCCCTTTTGATCCCATCGCCATATCCACTGATCTCGTGGCCTTCGAACACTAACAGGTATGTTTAAAATCAAATTAGCATCGCGAACATTAAAAACATCATAAACACAGTCAATATCCCACCCAGTACCATGCATATTCATAAGAGAGGACACCGGAGCCGAACGGACCGAGGGATGCAAGTCTGTCTCCACATACGGATTATCATCAACCGGGAGCCATGGATCCAAGCCTATAACAGTCTCACACCCATCACCAATTGCCCTTCTACACCCCTCCTTCAAACAACTCTTGACTGCCAGCATGCCTCTCCATACAAAAGAAGGATTACTTCCCTCCCCAGCATCAAAGAAATCACAGCTAGGATAGTAACGTGCCTTAAACACGCGAGCCAACAGACTTGTGGGGTTTGTAAGCAACCTCCAAGCTTGCTTGCTAAGCAAGGCCAAATTCATCTCATGCATGCGCCGAAAACCCATACCACCATTCGCTTTGGGCCTAGACAACCCTTCCCAGGAACGCCACTTAATACCTCGTCCAAATTAAACACGAAAAAATTAATATTATTTGTAGACTTTACTTATTTTTTTTAACTTTGAATTAATATTAATTTTTGTTAGACTATAAAGTTGGATTACAAATTTACAAAGTTAGTATTTGTAGACGTTACATATTTTTTTGAAACTTTGAATTCAAAAAAAAAAAAAAAAACACGAACCAGCTCGCGGGGCAGGCTAGGGTTGCATGAACCCTAGCCCACTGGCCAGCCCGCTTTGACATAAATTAAATTAAATACTGTAAATTTAAATTCTAAATAAATGGAGTTATTTGTAATTGTCACATATATAAAATTGATCGAATGAACTTCAAAATAAATATAACGCTTTTTTTTATACTATGTATAAATATTTCATCACTTGTTTGTTATAATATATGATGAAATATGTACATAATCATTATCAATTAAACCAATTTTTGTTATAACATGAATGTTGAAATATTTTCGTAAAATAAAAGCATAATATTTATTAAAATCTCCTATTAATTAGACTCATTTGTAAATAAATAAATTCTAAAATAATTAAGCTTGATTTATATATCAATGGTTTATTAATTTGTTTAGAACTTATTTTTTTTTAAACAATTAAATCATTGATAGGGAAAATGGCACTTTTTCCCCCTGAATTATATACTTATAGCACTTTTCCCCCCTGAATTATTTATGTAAGCACATTAGCCCCCTCAATCATTTTAAAAGTGGTGGTTTCCCCCCCTAATATATTTTATTGACATTTCTACCCTTAAAGTAAACATTTTATTTATTTTTCCTTTTCAATAAATTATTGCGTATACATAGGGATGACCACGGTTCGATTCGAATTGAACCAGACACTACAGCAATCGAATTAAAAGTTTCCGGTTATGATTCAGATCCAGAACCCAATATTTTAATTTCAATTCATTAAAATTATGAATCAAAAAAACTGGATCCTGAACCGTGAACCGGCGGTTCTAGATCCGGTTAGCGATTTTAAACCGTGTTTATTTTTAAAATTTTAATTTTTTATTTTAAAATAGTCTAAATTCAACAATAAATGTATTTTATTTTTTTCAGTTTGGACCATGAACCGGCCGTCCCGGTTCACGATTTTAATAAAATCTAAATATCGTGTTTCGATTCTAAATTGTAATTAGAATATTTCGATTTGATTTCTATAGTGTCTGTTTGGTTTGAACCAATTTGTGGTCATAATTTGTTAAAGAAAAAAATAAATGAAATATTTATTTTAAGGGTAAATATGTCCATTTAACATTTCAGGGGGAAAAACAGCCACTTAAATAATTCAGGGGGGAAAAGTGCTATATGTATATAAGTTAGGGGGAAAAAGTGCCATTTTCCCTCATTGATATTAGAGCAAATTACACTTTTGATCCTGTGACTATAGGGGGTGTGTTAATTTGGGTACGTGACTTTTAAAACTAACAATTTAGTCCTTTAACTATCATTTTTTTAGCAGATTTGGTCCTCCCGACCAAATTGCCGGTGGAATTTGGCCGGAAAGACGTTCGACTTTTTAAATCAAATATTGGTGGGGGTAATTCGGCTCAACAATTAAAAAGACCGAATTACCCCCACCAATATTTGATTTAAAAAGTCGAACGTCTTTCCAGCCAAATTTCACCGGCAATTTGGCCGGTAGGACCAAATCTGCTAAAAAAATGATAGTTAAAGGACTAAATTGTTAGTTTTAAAAGTCAGGTACCCAAATTAACACACCCTCTATAGTCACAGGACCAAAAGTGTAATTTGCTCTTGATATTATAAGATTATATAATGTTGAATTTACTAAGTGGCTTGTGGTTCACTGGTATTCGGTTGATTTACTTTATGTGAGAAGTCTAAGGTTTGAGTTTTGGTGTAGGCATAGATTGTATATGTGTGTATCCCCTTCCTTTGTAATAAAAATTATAATGTTGAATTTCATTCCAATGTCGAATTTTGTTTGAATTGCCCGATTTACGTATTGAATATTGGCAAATATTTACTTATATATCAGAAAATTTAGTGATTATAAAATAGGAGACCCGCGATATCAACACCTTATAACACAAAGAGGTGAGACGCGTATTGTAACCAATATCACACGATATCAACACTAGTCAAAGAGTCAGCAGTGTCGATTAGGGGACCAAACTTATAACCTCCCATTTAGAAGAGAGAGTACTCTTACATATATATAAACCACATTGATGTTCCTTCAATTCATCAGCAGGACGTTGACAAAGTGAATTCTCACACATTGTACAAAATATCTACCTAATATTTTGTTTGGTTGTTTGTTTGTTTTTTTTTTTTTTTTGTTTTGTTTTGTTTTTTTTTTTTTTTTTTTTTAAATAATGGAATAGTGTCAATAGTGTTACACTAGCTTCAAATGTATACACGTATTGATATAAAACACTAACTTAGAGTCTTAGATCAATCAAATTGATTTACATTATAGTAGTTTATTACTAAAATTAACAGTCCACACTCAAATAACAAGAGTTAATTTCCAATTGATTGAATTTAAAATACGTAATAGTAGCCCGTAATTAACTTTTAATTACATGCCTAACATTTTAATAAATTCATAAAGAAATGACACAGTACAATAATCTCATTAGTCAAATCTTTTGTTTACCAATTAGAGATTAAATTATTACAGAAGGGTCTATGAGGTTTAATCAAATTACACTTTAAAGGTATAATAGGAAATCAGCATGAAATGAATTAACGAAAAATGAAAACTTATGGGAATTATGTGTAAAATTTAAGATAAGAAGACACTCAAGTGCGAATATTCTAAATTTAGAGATTCCATGTGAAATTGTACTTTTAAATCAATTAAACATGTTTCTTTGAAACAAATAAGCTCTTCACTTGCAAGTATAAATACTGAGCTTCCCTACACTCTTAAATCAACTCACTAGTAAAGGAGAATTACAAATATTTACATTAACTTCATGGGTATGGCCTCCAATTCCCAAGCCTCAACCATTCTCTTCCTTTTCCTCAATATATTATTCTTTGCTCTTATTGATTGTCAACGCACACCTGCCCCAACTCCTTGTACATGTATCGAACCGCCTACCACACCTCCTAGCACAAGTGGTGAAGCCCGACCCCCTGTCCAACCTCCAGGGAATGGTCAATCCCTTGTCCCACCTCCAATTGGTGGTCAACCCTCTGTCCCACCTCCAGGTAGCGGTCGGCCCCCTGTTCCACCTCCTAGTACTGCCCAACCCCCCGTCCCACCTCCTGGTAGTGGCCAACCCCCTACCTCACCAAATAATGAAGGCAGTGGTGTCCAAACCCCTACGCCCAGTAGTAGCCAACCCCCCGTTCTACCGCCAGACAATGGCCAACCAACCGTCCCACCCCCTAGCAGTGGTCAACCTTCGGTACCACCTCCAGGCAATGACCAACCCCCCCTTTCACCTCCCGTCCCACCTCCAAGAAGTAGCCAACCTCTCGCCCCACCTCCGGGTAGTGGTAAGGCACCGGTCCCACCTCCGAGCATTGGCCAACCCTCCGTCCCTCCTCCGATCAGTGGCCAACCCCCTGTCCCACCTCCAGGTAGTGGCCAACCTCCAGTTCCAGGCCAACCTCCCATCCCACCTCCTAGCAATAGCCAACCCCCAATCCCACCTCCAGGCAATGGCCAACCTCCAAGCTTTGGCCAACCCGCCATCTCACCTCCAGATAATGGCCAACCGCCCGTCCCACCTCCTGGCAGTGGCCAAACCCCAGTCCCACCTTCAGGCAATGGCCAACCCCCCGTCCCATCTCCTAAAAGTGACGGTGATAACCAACCTAGTACACCACCTTCATCTCCACCTTCACCACCACCTCCATCTCCACCACCGCCGCCACCACCACCACCTCCCCCACCACCTCCATCTAATCCATCTCCACCACCGCCACCACCACCATCATCTCCTCCACCTCCTCCTGTCATTGGTACATGCCCAATAAGAAAACTAAAGTTGAATATATGTGCCATTATATTAAATAAGATAACTTCTGTCCGAGGGATTATTCGCCCAATTTTGGCAAAGCCTTGCTGCAGAAACCTTAATGGACTTAATAATTTCCAAGCTGGCATTTGTCTTTGCGCAGCATCTAAACTCAAAGTTCATGGCATCACCAATGTCGATGTCAATGTTGCTATGAATGTTCTTCTCAATGCATGTGGACGCAGCCCTAGAAATCGTTTCAAGTGCTAAAGATGTAGCATGCATGCTTTAGTGTGTTACATTCTTGAATGGAATGATATATAGAGTCTATACAAAAATATATGAATAATTGTGTTTAGCGGTTCATATAATCATCTAAACTCCTTTTGTGTTTGCGTGTGTTGTCATCATAATATATATATATATATATATATATATATATATATATATATATATATATATATATATAAATAGAAAATTTGTGAAGATATTTGGTAAAGTATGACATGTGTGTTTTATTGGGATGATTTTAATTATTCTCTGGTCAAGTTTCCTTTATGAGCGATTTGACTGTAGATCAGCACCCAAGATGTTTGGTTTCATGCTTGAAATTTTGATGCCACATGCAAATAAAAATTCATTTTGAGGAATTCAAATTTTATATGTTAAAGGCAATTCGAATATTAATGCAAACAAATAACGTAACAAATATATAAAAGCAAGATTTATTGGTATACAACTTATATATTGCAACATGATTTTATTATAAGGCCTCGATTGAATAATATAATATTTTACTTGGTCATTCTGAATATTGCAACATTATAAGGCCTGAACCCAATCTGAATATGATAAAGTCTCTTCAATCATTTTGGGCTCAATTTGTGAAAGAAAATATGTCATCATGCTTTCTTGAATGAATGACCTTTACTCCATCAATTCAGGAACATCTCCAATTACTTGATCTGGTGGATGATCTGTCTGTTAACCACCTTAAATCTAGTTGAAAGTTTGTTGGAGTTGCGCTTTCATCTACTGCATGTATATTTGTTTATATCAAGTGATAGTTCATGCCTATCTGTTCATAAAGAAATTCATTCTAATCATTCAATGCACAACCTTTCGCTCTTTTAAGAAATTATAAACATCCTCGTACGGGCTTAGCTTAATAGTTCAGTGGGTAGTATTTGGACAAGAGATCAAGGTTTGAACTTCAACGGCGACCGTGTGAGAATTATATCCAAAGTGAACAGATTCTTTGCGCGCACTAGCATTTGGCTCTGTCCGCTAAACCATTGCGGGATGTGAGGGCTTTTAGGATTGGGGATTCAACTTTTTGGGAGAAGAAATTATAAAGAGCCCTAATGGCCAGCAATATACAATACAATAAATAAAATAAACTTTCCAATTATCTATACTGCATGAGAGAAAGTCTCCTGTTGAGAATCTTGTTTTATATTTTCTTCTTTCGCTACTTGGGTCTTCATTTCTATGCAGCCATGTATTTATTACTTTGTGCCTTTTATTTATATTTAGAGTTAATTCCATTTTTGGTTCAGGTGAAAATTCACTTTAAATCCTTTTTATTAGAACATTCATTTTTGGTTCTAGTATTATTGTGGCATGATCATTTTTGGTTTTTTATCAACAAAATAGTTTAAATATCGTTAAATACAAGGACATCTCGGTCTTTAATTATGATTTTTTTTTTAAATGAACATAAAAAATATAGAGTTCAACCTATTTTGTATTAAAAAAAAAAAAGATTGAAATGTCTTTGTATTTAACGACATTTCAACGATTTTATTGAAGGATGACTAAAAATGGTCATTACCATAATAATACTAGGACTAAATGAGGATGTTCTAATAAAAAAAGAATAAAAGTGGATTGTCACCCATCAATCTAGGACCAAAAATGAAATTAACTCTTATATTTATAATAAGAGAAAATTTCAATTTTGGTCCACTGACTATTGGAGTTGTGTTAACTGCAACACTTGACTATTAAAAATATTAATTTAGTACCTTGACTATGCAATTTCTATCAATTTTGGTCACGCCGATCAAATTACCTGTGAAAAGTGGCCGGAAAAATTTTAATAGTAAAATAATGATAGCATGTTGGTCTTTTCATCTTCTCTATTCTTCTTCTCCATTGGGTTACCAAAAAATTTATGAATAGTTTGAAGCTTAAAACAGAGGACAAAGGTCAAAAAATCAGAGACAGCCCAATGATAAGTTCACCTCAGCCTTCTACAGAAATTCCGACGCTACAATGGTCTTCCCAGCCAACTGTATTTCCGATCCGACACCATAAGCTACTTCCCAGGCAACCGCATTTCCGACATCACAAAACAACTCCTAGTCAAATCCTTCTTATAAAGTAGATTATAGATTAGAAGGTGCCATAGTTCCATTACAAGAAAGAAGTCACTGGAAAGATTTAACAGATTTCTAATGATTGATAATTTGTATGTGTTGAACTACCGAATTTTAAGTGTGTTTTTTTTTCTTCTTAAAATTAAAGCAAAACTTGCAGAGATTTGAAACAAACGAATTCGTCTCATCTTATGCTTGGGCTAGACAGCAGAGGCGACGGAGACGGTAGGCTTTAGAGTGGATTTGCGACGGAGACCGGATAAGAAAGATGAGAGAAGAACGGTAAGCAAAATTTTCCGGTGGCGTGAAAGAACGGTAAGAACACAGTGGAGGCGCACAAATGAGCAAGCATTCTTGAGCGCCAACACTCTCGCCTGAATCTGAGAAGAGGGGAAAATTTTCCGGTGGCGTAGAAGAGCCCCAATGGAGAAGAAGAACAGAGAAGATGAAAATACCAACATGCCCTCATTATTTTACTATTAAAATTTTTCCGGTCACTTTTCGCCAGTAATTTGACCGACGTGACCAAAATTGATAGAAATTGCATAGTTAAGGTACTAAATTAACATTTTTAATAGTCAAGTGTTACAATTAACACAACTCCAATAGTCAGTGGACCAAAATTGAAATTTTCTCTAAAAATGATAAAACTATTATTCTTAGTATCATTTTTTGCGAAGTTGTTATTTTATACTTGCATCTTTTAATGGGTATAAATTAAAACTATGACTCCACCTTCTGCCTTAAATTTCCATCTGTTTTCTATGGTAATCAAAGACTGCTTTTTATATTTATTTTTGGTGCTTTCTTTCCTAAGTTCGAAAATGCCCCATCATATTCTGATCAGAAGAACTGGGGTGATGACTTTCCTAGAAAGTGGTTCTGGGTAACATCTTCTTTATAGTATGCAGGAGAAGCTAGACTTTTGTAGTGATTTGTGTATAGAATAATTGTGTATATTTTTTTGAATGAAGTATTGATAGAATTGAAGTAGTGTTGATAGAGTTTAATTGGAGTACAATGTTGATAGAATTGAAATATTGACAGTCATAATGATGTTATATTGGGTGGAATGTACCAAGAAAAATTGTATTTTTATCAAATTAATTATTTTTAAAATTAAAAATTAACAATAGGTGTCTGTTCATACTAAGGAACAAACGCCTGCCAACTTTCTGCGTCAGTTAACAACAGACGCAGGAAGTACACCTGCATCTGAAGTATATGCGTCTATAGTAGAACGCAAAATGTTTTTTACAACAGACGTAAATGACATTCACTACAAGAAAATTGGTCATTAGTGAGAGGTATCATTTTTCTTTGATTGAATGTTAATGTTATTTTCTTGATTAAAGGTTTTTTAACGAGACAACTAGTGCAACATAAATACACATATACCATGTACTTTTTTCTTCACTGAATTTTTATAGTGAGATTTTTAACGAGACATGAGTATGATATAGTAATGTACAATGGGAAGTGTTGTAAATAAATATATGTGGACATTACTATAGGTATTATATTATGATAATACCCCTTCATCCTTTATAGATTTATAGTAGACCTCTGTATATCTTGGCTCTGTTTGGAAACATTACCAAACAGAGTTTATAGCTTATTAGTAGCTTAAAATAAGCTCCTAGCTCCTAGCTTAGCTTAGCTTAGCGTTGCTTATATATATTGAAATGGGAGGATCATTATGGCTCTGTTTGGCAAACCTAGCTGAAAAGCTATTTCGGAGCTGAAAATTGAAGAGCTGTTAAGGTAGCTGTTATGATTGAAAGTGTTTGGTAAAATTAGCTTTTTGATGAGCTGATAAATGTAAAAAGACTAAAAAGGACATCTTCATAAAATTTAAATTAGTTTGTTTACCTATTAAAATTAAACATTTTGTCTTTAAAAAAATTAATATTTTGAAATAAAAGTATTAACATAATCATGATCTAGCATCTCATAGTGAAGTAGCAATATTGTTGCGAATCTCCTTCATCTCCATAGAGGTGTGACTTAAATTTTCGTTGATGGAGATATTACTACTTGAATCTTGAAGTTCATCAGGCGGTATGTAATCTGGATGCTGCTCAAGCACATTAAACATCATGTCATCTTGTGAATTCTTCCGAATATAATTATGTACTGCAAATGTGGCCATAATAACATCAATTTGGGTCTCCTCACTAAACTGCGGCATTTTAGCAAGTATCTTCCCTCTCTTATTCAATACTCCAATCGATCTCTCAATACAACTTCTAAGAGAAGAATGTGCACGATTGAATGCTTCTTGAGCATTAGTTGGCGGCTTTTGTTCAAATTGAGATTGGAGCCATATTGCTAATTTAATAATAATAATAATAATAATAATAATAATAATAATAATAATAATAAGTTAAAGTTTCAACATAATTTTTTAGCAGGAAACAAGACTAAGGAAGGGATTGACGTGAAAGTTGGGATAGGGGAAGAGAAAGGGTTTTAATTCATAAGGTTAAAATATGTCATTACTTTAAAATAATAAGGATAAAGATGGAAAAAAAGTTAGGAAGCTAGTAGCTTATTTTGAAACGCTACCTAAAGTAGCGTTCCAAAATAAGCTCTTATTTTAAGCTAGGAGCTTATTTTGGGAACATTACCAAACACAGCTTATAGCTTATTAGTAGCTTAAAATAAGCTCCTGGCTCCTAGCTCCTAGCTTAGCTTAGCTTAGCGTTGCTTATATATATATATATATATATATATATATATATATATATATATATATATATATATATATATATATATATATATATATATATATATATATTTTGAAATGGGAGGATCATTATGGCTTGGAAAACCTAGCTGAAAAGCTATAAGCTGAGAGCTGAAAGCTGAAAAGGAGCTGAAAGCTGAAAAGCTATAAGCTCA